TTTGTCTACTAAATTTCCCCGGGAAATTTAGTAAAAAACAAAAGATTTCTTTGTCTACTAATCTTCCCTCATCAAAAATGCACGGGATGATTAGTAGACAAAGAAATCCTTTGTCTTTTACTAAATTTCCCGCTTCCATATTTAATGCAACGGAAAACCTAAAACACTCAACAATTTTATTCAACATATTAAATTTTAAATGTACACAAGTATGACTTTGCTAAACAATTAAACGTCAAACTCCAACTCAATACCAACTGTAAAATTCATGCTATCAACGTCCGTTTATATTTATGTTTATATTTACGTGACTAGCAGTGGCTCCTTGAATTCGTTTCTTTCTGCCTGAAAATCTTTAAACTGCTCGTTCCTCTCTTTAACCCACGCGTTCTACACATTTGTACTCCACGTAGTGTGCCTTATGGTATTCTTTGGCACTCTATCTTTTCGAACATTTTCAACTGTCCGGTCTGACACAAAATATAACCTTCCAGTTGCAGCCATATTCGAAAACTAAGTTTAAAATCAATGCAGTGATTTACAACAACAAAGCATGTCCCAAAGGTACACTTATTTCAATCAATAGTCAACTCATAAACAACTTCATTGAAAAATACAAAATCAAACAGCTAAACTTATCTCTGCAGCAAACATTTTTGAGTTTTCCTCGGCGATCATAATATTACAAACTAATAACATGACTAGTCGGGAAATTAGCGATTAAATTTCCCTTCGCCTCGGGAAGATTTGTGAAAGTCCTCGGGCGTCGCCCTCGGACTTTCACAAATCTTCCCTCGGCGTCGGGAAATTTAATCGCTAATTTCCCTCTAGTCATGTTATTACTTATAATAAGTATTAGCAAAGTATTAAACTTTAAAAATCTTACGAAATATCACTTACTCGAACCGTCCTGACCATACTTTTACCAAATATCACTTACTTGAACCGTCCACCGGGGCCGGGCATATTTTTCAAGCTCGCCCGGTGTGGATATACACTCAGAGTAACATCATAAACTTCAGATTCACCTGAGTACACAACACCAACACAGAAAAAAATCATATTACAAGATTAAAATGGTATCGAACGAACTAGATTGTGCTCCGAAATATCACTTACTCGAACCGTCCTGACCACGTAGCTCAGTTGGCAGAGCATTGGGCTAGTATTCCAAAGGTCGTAGGTTTGATTCCCACCGTGGCCGGGCATATTTTTCAAGCTCGCCCGGTGTGGATATACCCTCAGAGTAACATCACAAACTTTAAAAATTTTCTTAAAATGCCAGTAATCAATGGCCACACCTGTTAAATACATTACAAACGTGTGTAATTGAAGTAATATTCTGATAACGTCATGGGTGTATCAGACGATCCACCCAACGTAGAACACCCCCCCCCCCC